ATTTTAGGGTTTTGGGGTTTCCGGGTTCGGCGGATTTGGGCAAATGCTGTTCTCACGAAAGCTATTGTAGCTGGGTTTCGGGTTCAAGACACGCGAAAGCTATTGTAGCTGGGTTTCGGGTTCAAGAAATATGTGGGCCGTTTAGGCGTCTATATCTCTGGCTGGAACATGCAGTTTAATGGAGTCTAGGCGGCTACACAGAATGTTGAAAGGAGTGGGATCTCGTAAGCGCCCGGATGCACATAGAATCATTGTCAGCTTCCTCCTGTATTTCTTCGGGGCAGACTCCCCACTCGGACTTGTACGCCAAGCCCCAAACCCCTCTCTCTCCAACCCTGCCCTTGTAAACTCCACAGATAGAACCCCTTCGCCCCAACTAGCCTAAGACAGGAGCCTAAATAATTAGAATAGGGCTTTGGGCCCATTACACTATAACTATAACAAGGACCCCCCCCCCCCCAAACTAGTATTGGTAACTATTGGGGCCCCTACATTGGCCCACAGAGGGCCACTAGTAAAGACCCTAAGGCCTCTAGCAGGTGTGATTGCCTTGCCGGGCTCCTCATAAACTCTCGGCCCAGCCCAAAGGGTCCTTTGTACTGTTATGGGGGATACCTCCCTAAACCATAATAGTAGTTCCTAATATAGGAGGTACGTCCCTAAACCACAATCGTAGTTCCTAACATAGAAACCCTACATTCTACTATACCGGTACCTGGACCCTTTGGGCAGATGGTACGGCGAGAGCCCTTACCTGAGGGTCCCTCAATCTAAGCATTGTAAGCATAGTCTAGAAACCTCACAGCCCCTCTCAGTATCATAGCCCTATACGGCCCTATACCTTGCCCGCTGAACAAAAAGCCCCTTGCCCCAAGTGCACAACCCGGAGCCCGGAAGCCAAAAAAGGCCCCATGTAAGCAAGATCCAAACGAACCCTGTCAAACCCTAAACCTGAAACCCCAAAATGTCGACGCCGGTTGGCAGAAATAAAAAAAGAAATTACCCTCGAAGGCTCCGGTTCCACAGCCATACTCCGATGCCAACGAAAGCGATGGGTGCCCTGGCTGCGATGAAACTCGAGGGCTGGTTGGAGGCTTTAGGCTTTGAGGGTTTAGAGCTTTGGGTTTAGGTTGTGAGGTTGAGAGTCTAGAGGGCTTGTTGGAGGCTTTAGGCTTTAGGCTGTGGGGGTTTAGGGTGTAGGGCCGTAGGGTTTGGGTTGTTAGGTTGAGGGCTGAAGGGGTCAGGCCGCTTATGTTTGCCGCGTGTGGCCAAATGCATGGGGCTTAGGATTTATAGTTGCTTTTCTTGGGCAGATGTCTTCGCTTTTTTTTGATGCTTCACTGATGTCATTGATGTGCTCCCCTAAACCCTAAACCCTAAGCCCGAAACCCTATAACAACCTACATGTGAAACCCTCATACCCTAAAGCCCTAAACCCTAAATCCTAAACCCTAAGCCCTAAACCCTACACCCTAAACCCTAAATCCTAAACCCTAAACCCTAAACCCTAAACGCTACACCCTAAACCCTAAATCCCAAACCCT